ACAAGAAGAAGAAGAAGAAGAAGGCAAGGTATAGTGGTGCATGCCTGTAGTCCCAGCTACTCTGGAGGCTGAGACAGGAGAATCACTTGAACCTGGGAGGCGAAGGTTGCAGTGAGCCAAGATTGCACCACTGCACTGCAGCATGGATGACAGAGCAAGACTCTGTGTCAAAAAATAAAAATTAAAAAATAAAATAAATGCATATTTTAAAAAACCTAGTCTCTATATTAAAAAAATTAAAATCACTTTTTTTTTAGTGTTTTCTCGAATTTTTTTATTGCATTTTAGGTTTTGGGGTACATGTGAAGAACATGCAAGATTGTTGCATAGGTACACACATGGCAGTGTGATTTGCTGCCTTCCTCCCCATCACCTACTTCTGGCATCTCTCCCCTTACTATCTCTCCCCAACTCCCCACCCCCCGCTGTCCCTCCCCTATTTCCCCCCTACAGACCTCAGTGTGTGATGCTCCCCTCCCTGTGTCCATGTGTTCTCATTGTTCAACACCCACCTATGAGTGAGAACATGTGATGTTTGATTTTCTGTTCTTCTATCAGTTTGCTGAGAATGATGGTTTCCAGGTTCATCCATGTCCCTACAAAGGACATGAACTCATCATTTTTGATGGCTGCATAATATTCCATGGTGTATATGTGCCACATTTTCCCTGTCCAGTCTATCATTGATGGGCATTTGGGTTGGTTCCAGGTCTTTGCTATTGTAAACGGTGCTGCAATGAACATTCGTGTGCATGGGTCCTTATAGTATAAAATAACTTTTTAAAAAAATGCTGGGTACAGTGGTGCACGCCTGTAATCTCAGCACTTTGGGAAGCCGAGGTGAGAGAATCACTATTTATTTTGATCCTGACTTTGAGACCAGACTGAGCAACATAGTGAGACCTTGTCTCTATATTAAAAAAGAAAATTATAAAATAAAATTTTTTAAAAATGAGAAAGCTCCTCCTGTGAAATATTCTGACCCACAGATGGACTAGCCAGGAGTGGTGGCACGTGCCTGTAGCCCGAGCCACTAGGGAGGTTGAGGCAACAGGATTGCTTGAGCCCAGGAGATCGAGGCTGCAGTGAGTTGTGATGGCACCACTGCAATCCCCCCAAGTGATTTATTATTGTTTCAGAAATAAAAATAAAAACAAAACTACTCAAACTACATTTGTGAATTGACTAAAACAGAATTATCTACCCAGACTGAAAACTCTGTTTCTCATGTGTGTGAGAGTAATTTGCAAAGGGGCAAAAAAGAAAGAGCTGGAAAATAAACAACAAATGTGGAATAATAGTGGTACTGATTAGGAAGCCTCTTTCAAGGGTGCAGTAGCTCACGCCTGTAATCCCAGCACTTTGGGAGGCCGAGGTGGGCGGGTCACCTAAGGTCTCACAAAAACAAAATCCTGAAAAAAAGAGCTGGGAAGGCCGTGAATAGAAGGTTCTCATGCTCATATGCCTGATAACAAAAACTATCACTAAAGACTCTGCAAAAAATATAACGTTGCACAGAGGACACTGCAATCTTACACAAAACATACCTCTGCAAGGACATCTGCCTAGCAGTTGCCTGTCCAACCTCGGGCTGGCATCAGCCTTATTATTGGTTTTTGTAGCCAGGGATAATTGTTTCAAAATAATTATGTAATTCTCTTTATTTTTTCCTTTAAACATCTTTGTCTTCCTACCTGAATACGCCCATAATTTATTATGGCATGCATATTCCCTTTGCAATGCTCTATTCCCAGATTTATGTCCTTCTCTTTTATTTATTTTATTTTATTTTTGAGACTGAGTTTTGCTCTTGTTGCCCAGGCTGGAGTGCAGTGGTGCAATCTCAGGTCACCGTAACCTCCACTTACTGGGATAAAGTTATTCTCCTGCCTCAGCCCCCCAAGTAGCTGGGATTACAGGCATGTGCCACCATGCTCGGCTAATTTT